GGCGAAGCCACGGGGGAGGGGGAGGGGGAGGGGGAAGCATTTGGCGAAGGCTCTGGTGGTGGAGGGGAGGAGGCAGGAGAGGAGGCAGGGGATGGGTAAGGGGTGGGGGAATCGGTGGAGGGTGGTGGGCTGGTGCCGGTGGGCGAGGTGCCGGGGGAGGCGGGCATGATGGCAATGTCGGCACAGTTCCAGAACTGCAGTGGAGAGGCATGGTGGGAGTGCGGAGGGATGGGGTACGAGACGATCATCTCAGCAGCATGGCAGGAGTGTTGGACTGGTCTTGCTTCATTCAGGACGTCAGGTTGGGCCAATTTCCCCTGTGAGTTCTGAATACCCAGAGCGCTCTGGCATGCAGGGCCGACCCGAGTCTCACCTCCTCAGGGTAGGCGCCATTGGTCCCGCACTTGGTCAGCTGTGGGCTGGCGTACTTGGGGTCGGTGTTTGGGGGCTCACAGGAGTTGCCTGCGGCGCAGAGGCATGGCGAGGGTGGGGAGGGTAATGGGAATGCTGTCCCCGGTGCACGGCAAGACTTTTGCCACTGATGGGCACACCGCAACGCCCTGCATCTCCCCAGAACCCAGGGCAATCAAGAGTTCCATCACCTTCCACCGCCCAGTGCTGCCCTCACCTGTGAGGTACCACCACTGCATCACGCAGCGCGTGTTGACGCCATCGCAAGTGAGGCCCTGGGGCAGCTGGTAGGCCATGTCCCAGGATCCGACTCCACGATCGTACCAGTAGGGGCTGCCGGCGTTCTGGGCTCCAGCCACATCAGCTTGCATCTGGGAAGCCAGAGTCCAGGGGGCGGGGGGAAGGGGGGATGGGTCGGGGTCTCCTTTAGACTTTAGAGTGGGTGTGACGTGGTGGACAGGTCTCTCGACTCCACTTGAATGGTGAGGAGTCCCTCACGCAGGTTACTGACCTCAGGACCCGAGCAGAATGGACTCCCTGGGGGTGTACACCGAAAGGGAAGGGAGGTTTGCCTGGGATGGACGGAGCTAGATTCCACTCACCAGGATGTGCTGGTTGAGGCACTCATCGGTGAGCTCCGCGCGCTCCGAGGTTGGGTCCTGAATGACGCACACCCTGAACATGAAACGCCCCTTGTGAGCTGCAGTGATCACGATCGTCATGTTGACGACCTGCCCCTCCGTGTAGGTCCCGGTGATGGTGCCGGTGGCGGAGACGCCGCCGTACTCGTGCTTCCGCTCCCCGGTGTAAGGGTCCCCGCACATTCCATGGCGACCAGCCGGCCACTCCAAGGACCCACCGGCGCTGCAAGCGCTCGGTCCTGTCCAAGGTGTTAAGGGTTTGAAAGGGTGGGAACCCGATGTGTAAGCGTCGCCATTTATTCTAGGTTCGCGCACCCTCACCTCCGGCGTTGAGGCACTGCTTGCAGTAGTCGGTGTTGTGCAGGGCATTCCTCGAGAGAGGCACAGCAAGGTAGCCATGGGCCTCCACACGCTGCAGCAAGCAGGCAGCCACGGCAAGGGCAAGGACCAGCGAGGCGGCCCGCGCGTAAGTGCGCATCGCGAGGTTAAAGTCTCACGATAATGTATCAAGCGGGTGGTGTGCGGGAACGTGCCACTATGGAGAAGTTGAGGTTCCTTGCTTGAAATGTGGGCGGTTGGCGATTGTTTGGATATGGGCATCCCGAGGTCTCTTTTATATGGAGTCGAGAGATCTCGATCTGTTTCCGCCCTAACTCCACGGGGGGGAGGTGCACTGACCGGAGGACCACCCTCTTTCCACTCCGGCCCAGCAGGTGGTCCCCATCTTAATGTGCAGTCAGTCAGCCTTTCAACAAAACAAATGGGCAAAGTGTACTCGATGCTTCCGCATGCCTCGATAATTATGCGCTTGGCAAGCATTACGCTTATGGGACATCTGTCAGCACACCCTTTGCCGTTATAATTTCATGTTTCAGGGTGCAATCCTCTGTCAGGATTTGGTCATCTCCATTCCTATGAGATTGCGAGTTTATTTTGGTGGTACATTGTTCTGTACGCGAGATTCCCTGTACCAGATGTGATCCTTCATCGCGCCCAGCTCCGGATGAGAGTTGCATCTGCAGATGCCCGCGGCCCTTTGCCCGACTACCCCTCATGCCAGAGGCCGCGCCAACCTCGAATTTCTCCCATGCCACCCATTTTCTATTCCTTTGATCGATAAAATATTTCGTAATTCCTTCCAAAGCATCGCTATGGGTGTCCAATTTGTTAAAAATCGTGCACTGAGGCCTGTTCTTTCGTGATCTTCCGGTTCCAACCTGATCGCCCCTCGGATCGTCGGCAACTGGTGACAAAGCAGGTGCAGACTCTGAACCATTATCGATCCAGTGGATCATCACGATCTAGTTCCTGGTGTAAGGTGATGTGCGTTGGCGCGGTGCACGGGGACCGAACGACATCGGATCATTTTTTCAGGTAAACCCCGCGTGCCGCTCCTCGGCGCCGCGCCCCTGCGACCGGGTCTCCGGAAGGCTAATCGTTCGGACGATTGGATAATCGAATGAGCTTCCTAGCGAGACCCCGTAGCCTATGCTTGTCATGTAGTCTTCGAATTAGTGGTAAGCTGGACAATCAATTCCTCGACGCGATGCTTCATTGCTTGCCAACAGCGTCCTCGCGTCACGACCAACAGGGACGCCTATGCATCTTAACGCGGTGAAAATGTATGCAGTTCTCGCCGACGCCACGAAGCGGTACATGCACATGCGTAGCAGCAATTTTGCATTGTCTTTGTAGATTATTTCCAGATGTTGCCAATGTTGTGGACTGGCAGCGGATTGGTCTCCTCGTAGATTCGCGTTGCCGAAAGTACTGCCCAGAACAGCAACATAACCTGCTTGATAACCGCCAAAATTGATGTACGAGTAACTTGCCTCCTAGCCCGAGCGTTCACAGAACTATGAACTCCTAGACGAGGCACCTGGTCCTGTAGGGTGACAATGGGAAAGAGTCCTCTTGCGTGCAACGCTTGGCTCCTTTCCACAGTGAACGCAGCGAGGTGAGAGTCTCTCTGCCGGCGAATGGTACACAAGTGCGCGCAAGTGAAATGTGTGAATAACCAAATGGGCAAATTCATGTGTAGGTTTAGGAGAATTTTGAAGTTTGCAGCAGTCTGCTGTCGACACATGGTTTACTACGCCGAGCCTCCAACTGTGACTGTACCTGTGTGAATCTCCAGATTATTCAATTAATACTGCACCTTAGACTGGTCTGATACCGGAAGATAGAGAACATGTTTCACAACATCTCTTGCATAGTAACATTATATGTAGGAAGCACTCATTATTTTGTGCTCTGCAGAAAATTGGGAGTAAGAAGCGATCTACACTAAATAAAACACTACAGTGTTGGCATCTTTCATGACGTACACTGCAGAAGCCGGCGAAGGCAGGCAGCTACTGGGTCAAATCTGGTGCAGTCTGGGCGGTATAGGGTACGATCTGGCTGTTAGTAGTATCTGGGTCAGTCCCGTGCAGTAGTTGTACTGTGGCGCCGTGGTACGCAAAGCCCTCAGGTCATTGTATGATACTCCTGACGACCAGCCACTATGTTCGGAAGCCAGATTGAAGGGGGGTAGGGGCCACAGTGGCTGTGAAATGAGTGAGAAATTCAGCTGGTACGGCTGCCGCATTTGCTTTACTTGCAAACCTGAAAGTGAAGTATACTTCCCATGTCGTCGGCAGAAGAGATTCCTGATATCCATGCTGGTGCCGGTGCGCCATCTATAGGTAGAAATGGCTATCAGGCATTGCCTGGTGAATGTGAGGGGGGAATGATGCCTGGAGACGGGGAGGGGGAGACTTCAGATGGGGAAGTGGAGGAGGATGTGTCAGATGGAGAAGGAGACGGAGAGTCGTTGCTCAGAAAAGGGGATGGAGAGTCGTCCTTGGGAGAAGGGGACGAAGAATCGCTGCTGGGAGAAGGGGTTGACCATTGGGACACTGGCGATGGAGATAATGACGTCGGGCTGGACGTGCTGGAGGAGGTTTCTGAGGACGCCGGCGCGATGGAGATGTCGGCGCAGTTCCAGAACTTGTGTGGGGAGGGAGAAGCATATACTTTGGCAACAGCGTGCTGAAAGATGGAAGCTCAAGTAGATGAGCAAGCACCAGGCCTCAGGATAGGTACAGAGCGCTTTCCTTGTACCCCTGCCACCAAGCAAGCATAAGCACACCGCTTACCTCTTCAGGGTAGGAGGCGCCGTCGTCCAGACAGCCCGGCAGCCAGAGACTGGCATAGTTGGGGTCGGTGTTGGGGGGGTCACATGTATTGCCTGCAGGGTGCAGCACGGGGAGGGAGGTCGACAGCAATTGCAACGACAGTCTTGCCCCCGCATGGAGTGCCCCAGAGCATCCCCGGGACGACTGAATGCCCGCGCAATTCCAGGAGCGCACCAGTGAGGTAATACCATTGCAGCACACATCGTGTGGTCTGACCGTCACAGGTGAGCCCCTGTGGGAGCTTGTAGGTCATTGTGGCGTCAGAGCCAGTGTCATACCAGTGAGCAGTTCCTGGGTTCTGAGCCCCCGGAACGTCAGCTTGCACCTGCGAGGGCAGGATTTGGGAGCAATGGAGAGTGGGACCCGACTGATGCATCGGCATGCAGATCATCAACTGGAGGAGTGAAAGAAAACCGGTCGCTTTTTGCACCCAGGCTCTGCACGGACGGCGGTGATTCCAGTCCACCCCTCCCACTCACCCCCCCCAAATTCAGCTCTCACCAGGATGTGCTCGTTCAGACAATCCTCAGTCAGCTCGGTGAGCTCCAGGGAAGGGTTCCAGATGACACAGATTCTGAAGGAGAACCGTCCCTTATGGCTCGTATTGATCACGATGGTAATGTTGATGTTGTCGCCCTCAGTATAATTCCCGGTGATGGTGCCGGTGGCAGAGACGCCACCGTACTCATGCTTTCGCTCCCCGGCAAAAGGGTCCCCGCAGATGCCGTGACGGGAAAGTGGCCACCTCAGTGCACCACCCTCGCTGGTGGCTCGGGTCCCTGGTAAACATGAAAAGTGGAGGAGTTGAGATGGCATCTGCTGATCAGCCTGACTGACAGAGATTGCACGACCTACCTCCGGCATTCAGGCAGTGAGGGCAGTAGTCGGTGTTATGCAAGAAGTTTCTCGAGGCAGGGACGGCAATGTAGCCGTGCGCATCGACTTGCGTGAGCACCAGCATTGCCGTGACAGCTGCAGTTTTGAGCGAGATCGCGGTCATGATGTGCCGACCACCACTTGGAGGTCCAGGGCCCAATGTCGCGGGAAAAAATACAAGTTATGAAGCGCTTTAAAGTTATCTATGACGCCCCGATCGTCTATTGCTTGCAACAGGGTGCATTCTGGGTACCTGCGATGTGATTCATGCCGCCGAATTCGATTCCAGCGTGTTGAAAGTAGGTGACAAACGTTCCCGAACGGGAGGAATTCGCTATGTCCACAGACACCGCTTTCTAACCCGCGGAATCGATTTAATACAGCATTTATATTATGTTCGAGCGTCGTTGTTGCCTGGGCGGCCTCTCTTTGCGGGAGTTTCGAGGGAAGTGCGTTGTCTGCCAGGAACGTTCAGTGCACGTTCTCAAACGTTTTGGATCCCCCTCACTGGGGCGGGGTGTTGTGGGGGTTAGAAAAGGGCCTTCAGGTCCAGAGCTGCGCAGTTTGGAGCTTTAGATAATGGTTATAATTGTATTCTGGGCTTGCAAAGGCTCCTATCGGGCACTGCACTGGCTCTGCATTTTAGGTCCATGAACGTTTATGAACGTTGTGCGTCGTTGGACGGCCTCTCTGGACGTCTGCTGCTCCGCGGCTTTGGGTTGCTGCCTTGTCGTGTTCTCGGGAGGGATGCCATCAGTCCACATGCTCACAAAGGCACCCGTTGCAATGTTTTGTGCAGCCACTGGCACCAAAGATGACATTCACGTGCACTGCAAGGTCAACGTTGTCAACCGCGACGTGAACGGAGCCGCCAACATGCTCATGCTGACTAAGTGTTTTTTTGAAAATGCACTTCGTCCCACTGCATTTGGTGGCCCCCCTGCTTCCCCTTCTTCCACCCTCCCACCCCCCCCACCCCCTCTGGTTCGCCGATCGAGGCAACCAACTGCGCCAGTCAGATCCCGCTTGCGGGAAGCAGCTGTGCAACCGGCGCAAGCCCGGTAGCGGCATATCTTCGACTCGCGCGAAGCATACGCCGCAGGATCGGACTTCTGTCATGATGGGGACACACAGGGTTCCGGTTGAAAACTCACATCACCCCAGCCACCGGAGTTGCCGGAGCTGGTGCCAAGCCGTCGCCATGCGCCCCCTTCAAATGATCCACTCCCAGAAAGCAGTGAGGATGCCATCGGGACGCTGCTCCTCTGTGCGAAAGGCCTCACTGGGAAGGCCCGGGACCTCTGCCTCTACTCTGTGGCAGATGTAGCAGGTTGCAAGCCCAGGATACGACAGGCTGGGTCTCCTGTCTTCCGTCATGGTGTGGCTCTCAGTCTTGATGCTGATCTGCACAGGGGTGTGGAGCAAAGGTGCACCCTATGCATTGAAGCATCTGCTTGGATCTGCTCATTCTCCTCCTAAAACCCGCCCTGCTGGCCTGGGCCAGGTCAGCAGGTGCATGCACAGGTGTTCAGACATACCTGGGGGGAGGGGGGCAGCACGCTGGCCAGCTCCTCGTGCACGCCACGCACAGCTGCCGCCTCCCACGCCTCGCCCGGAAGCAGCTTCTCGGACAGGGGCAGGGCCCGGGCGCGCTGAGCACCGCTCGGGAGCACCTGTCGGGCCTCGATGAGCATCCGTCCCCGCGCGTCCCGGATCTCCACCGACACCACCGAGACACGGCGCTGCGGCTGCCCCCCCGCATCCAGCCCCAGTGTGGACTCCCCATCCAGGACCTCGGTCAGCAGATGTTCCAGGCTCTTGGTGGGGCCCTGGCCATAAGGAGCGGTCGGGACCCCATGACCCTCCAGCCAATCACGCAGCTGGCCCTGCGTTGCAGGCCTGAATGCCTGGGCGGCCATCGCCAGGCACCTCCGAGGCCTCGGCCCCGCGCCGGCCACTGCACAAGGATTGGTACTTTGGATCAGACAGACATTCCCGATACGACACTAAGGTCCCAGCTGGTGCGGGACGACTGAGTATGCCCCCCCGGGCCCGCTCACACAGAGTGACGGGACGCGCGAATGGCCCCCCGAGCGGCCGCCCTAGAACTGGGGGCTGGTGGCGTGACCGCGCTAGCGTACCGATCGCGCCATCGCACGCTTGGGCCAGTGTCTCAGGCCACGAGGAGGTTGGGACGAACTCCCGGGGTGGCCTCTGCCCCACTCATCACCTCGCTCTCCCGGCGAAGGCTTCTACACTCAGCAGGTTTGGGATTTCGAAAAGCAGTGCTGGAAGGATGGAGAGGCACGGCACGCCTTGAGCTATCCCGGAAGACCACCCGGAAATGAATCTGCATGAGATCTCTTGTACACCCCCCGGATTGGAGGGGTTGGTACCGTGCCTGTTCACAGCATCACGAGGCCCACTTCGCTGGGTACCAGCGTCTTGCCCACCCTCCAGTTGTAGAGGTAGTACCGCAGCTTGCCATCCCCGATCCCAAACTTGAGGTCTGTGATTGGGAAGTGGTTCCATATGTGGGGGTGTGGGTCTTTCGGCATATGCAGGCTGGATCCAGGGTGCGGACCGGTTCTCGAGCCCACCAGAAGCACCCGGCTGCCCTCCCCGACTCCCACCCCCATGTTCTGGCAGCATGAGTCCCTGACAGGACCAGTCGCCGCCATGCCCCAGAAAGACCTCCACCCACCTCTGAGGACCTCCCCATTCTCAAAGATGTCCAGTGCATTAAAAACGTCATGCCCCGTAGTATGCGCCAGGATGAGGGCGTCGTTGAGCAGCTTGGACAGCGGGATGGTGGCCGCCACGGTGTAGAACATGTACGCCGCCTGGCGTTGGGAGGGAGGGGGAGGGAGATTGAGCGGTGCTGCCGTGGAGCGACGAGGTCCACGCGATTGCGGCTGGTTGTGTCGGTGTGTGCGTGTGGATTCCCTGTTCTGTCCACAAGCCAACCGCAGAGGGGGGGCATGCCTGGTGAGGAGCCATGCGCACACAGACTGATACAGCGCCTTCCAAACGCTCCCACCTCCCCACTCCTGAGCCTCCCCTTCCCCCTTTCTACCTTGAGCGTGTTGTACTCGGTGTTGTTGATGACGCTGGAGGGCAGGGTGTAGAAGGAGAGCATGTCGGTGATGGCGCCGCCCTCGCCCTCCACCACGTAGCTGTGCACCACGTCCGGCAGGGGGAGGAGCCAGTGCGCGACCTCGGCCTCGCTGAGCACGGGGGCGAGGCGGTAGCGCGCCAGGTGGCGCGCCAGCAGCGCCGCCACGGCCGGCACGTCGGCGCGGGCCATGGGCCGCACGCCGGGCGAGGCGGGCGCGGCGGGCAGGCGGTACAGCTTCACCGCACGCGCCACGGTCATGCGCGGGGCGAGGCGCGAGAAGCCCACCGCCACCAGCTTGCGCGGGTTCAGCGTGCGGTGCCAGTACTGCGCCTCGGCCGCGGGGCGCGGCAGCAGCACGCCGGCCGTATACACCGCCTGCCAGATGCCCGCCAGGTTCACACGCCGCGTGATCTCCTGCGGAAGGGGCGAGGGAGAGGAGGTGGTGTGGGAGGGCGTCTGCACCGGTATGTGCGCATTGGCTGCAGGGAGGCCGCTGGCCGTCGTCCGCGAGCGGCTGACGAGGGGTTGAAACGTGATCATGGGCAGGGTCCTCCACCCCCTCCGCGGGACCCGATAGAGGATTTCCACTGAGCGGCTGGGGCTGCCATTGCTGGGACTAGTCAGACACAGCTGCAGCGCTGTCCCATCTGATGCAGCCTAGGGCCCCGTTCCCATTGCCTGCCCTTCATCATACTCCTCCCAAAGTGGATATCCCATTGGTACCGTCGAGCGACCAACCTTGATCAGGACGGGGGCGAGGCGCTTGTGTCGCAGCTTCTTGTGCACACACAGGAAGTTGATCTCGACCATGGGCAGCTCCTGTGCATCCACCCGCGTCTGCATGGGGATGCCGGAGATGAAGGCCACCAGCTTCCCGCTGGACCTGTCAGGTGCATTGGCAGGGCGGGTGCAGGTGGGAGGGTGCTGGTGATGCTGGGACGGGGCCGTGGAACACCGAGTGCATGCTAGGCGAGGCGGGTGGGAAGCCTGCCTCGCTGCAATGCTTGCCAGCGAATCGCGCTGCGGTGCAGTCAGCCTTGCCGAATCTCAGCATGCACACGTCCGCGCTCCCTCCCCCTGCTGCCCTCCATCCACCACCACTCACGTCACCCGCACACCACACAGCCACTCGCTCCTGGTCCCGGGTGGCTTGAGCGCCCAGCGCAGAAACTCGGGAGAGTAGGCAAACCTTGGAGGGGAGGAGGGCGAGGAGAGGTGACCCAGGCTACTCACGGCGGCTTGTATACACTGGTGCCAGAATCTCACATTATGTGGAGCTGGCACAAATAGAGTACCCACCGAGCAGGCACGCAGCGTGACACTGAGTTCATCAGGTACCAACCCAGCTGCAAACACGCACGAGGCCCTTGGGCCCTCTGAGCCGATGCTTCACATGCATTGAAACAATGTCAACACCCCCAAGCACCCACCTGAACATGTTCTCGTCATCCTCGACATAATGCTGGCACAGCAGGTCGTACACCTCCGTCAGCTGCTTGTCGTCATCAATGTCGCAGTTGTCCCAATGGAAGCTGCGGTGCAGGCGTTGGGTGGATGGCAGTGAGCCCTGATGCTGGATATGGCCCGCATGGCGGGCAGGCTTCGGCTGTAAGCAGGCGGTGGGTGCGGCCGCCCCCACCCTGCCAGTCCAACCCTCCACGCACTTGTCAGGCAGGCTGTTTGGTGCCTGGCGGATGTCAGCGACCGTCTTCGGCGTATCGATGGGCCCATTATCACTCTGCATGGAGCATGAGAGGAAGGGGCTCAGGCTGCGGCAAAACATTGCTCTCCTGGCTGTCTGCCAAGACCCCATTCCCTAACCCCAAGCGCCACGCACCGAGGAGGTGCTGGCCTCCTCGCCAAACTGCGATACGGGCTGTGTACTCCAGAATGCATAATTATCCTTTGGTTGTGCCTTGTTGGCGAGCCCCAGGGCGTCCAGGGCCGACTTCAGCCTGTCCGCCAGCCCGCTCTGATCCTCACCCTCCGCCATTATGAGGCGGGATCCCTCACTCTATCGCCACAATACGAACCTGTTCCAGATCACAAGGACTCCGCGCTCAATATAACATAGGCATGGCACGTCGCTATTGACTGCCGGGGGCCGGTCGGCCCAATGCGGTAGGGTTGGCCTCCGGCGCGCGCGCCACTGACCTTGCTGGAATTTGCTGGGACATGGTCACCCTCCCTCGGTAGGGCGCACAAAGGGAGGGGCCTCTGGGCTGCTCCACTGCATGACTGAATCAGCTCCACACACCCAGCAGTCCTCCTAGGTCCAGCAATAAGACCGTGGCGCTGCCTGGCCCAGGTTCCTCCGCCCCTGCCAACTGCATGTGCAGCTTGGCCCTGGCCGCCAGTGGTGGCCCTTGGTTCTCTCCCTGCCGGTGAATGCTGAGGTGGGCAGTCACCGCCACAACATCTTCCTACGGAGCACAAACCAGCGTTGGGGGATGGGAAGAGGAGAGCGAGGATGAGGATGGTGTTCTGGACCTTGATTTGATCGAATGAAGACACCTTCCCACTATGGTTTCGAGAAGGGAAGGTGCGCCACACGACTCGGGGCACTTCTTCCCAGGAGTGTGCAGCAGGCGGAACCCACCATTCACGGTCGCCTCCCTGTCATACACAACAAATGGGTGCCTGGCCTAGATGCGGCCCTGCACTCCTGCCACGCACCGTGATGCTCTTCCAGTCCACGCTTTCCACCCAGAGCCCCACATCTGCCGGGGCTCCACGCCGCATCGCCTGCTCCACGGTCTTGGCGGCGGTGTACCGCCCCGAGTGCTCTGTGGCACCCACCCTCACCGCCTGTGCATGTGGAGGGAGGTGTTTGTTGGTCGTCATTGTAGAGGCCCTGATAAATGATTGTTTGCTGGGCGGCGGGCGACCACCTGGCGTCGCCAACCTGTCGGCCTGTGAAGACTTAAAGGTGCACATGCGGCTACTCCTACTTTACCCTGGCCCTCTTCCCACCTCCTCCATCCCCGCCACTCACGCAGGTCGGCCCCAGCAGCGGCCCCCTCCCCCGCCTCGCCTGCCCGCCCGCTGGTGGCTAGGGCCCGGAAAAAGCGGGCGCAGGCGGCGAGCACGGCGTCGCCCCGCGCCTCCTCCACGTCGTGCGTGCAGCGCATGAACTGGCGGAGCGTGGCCGCCATCGCCGTGCGCTGCAGCACGCCACCCTGGGCGCCCGACCCCGCGACCCAGGGGTGGCGCAGCAGCTCCTCAATGCTGGCGCGTTTTGTCGGATCGCGAGCCAGGCAGGCCGCTAGGAAGGAGCGGCAGGCGGGCGAGACGGCGCCGGGCGCGGGCAGGGGGCACTCCTCCTCCATCACCTGCCGGGCGTGAGGAGACGGGGGGGCGGGCCCAGGGGTGAGTATTCTGGCCTGGGGGTCATCGAATGGTGCAAGCGCGTCCCTGCACCTGTGCGCAAGCCCCTGGACTGGCCGACGACCACTGTGGGTCTCGGGTCTGAGGTGGTAGGCCACCCACGCGTGTGCCTGGCACCCCCTGGAGGGCCATTCCCCACCTTTGACAGGCTCCCCCGTCACCCACCCACCACCGTCCTCTCCCCCCCACCTGGACCATGAGCTGCATGACCCCGGCGCTGGCGTCGTAGGGGTACTTGCCCGTCACCGCCTCCAGCAACGTCAGGCCGAGGGCCCAGACGTCGGAGGGCAGGCCATAGGGCAAGCCGTCTACCCTCTCCGGCGACATGTAGGTCACCGTGCCGGTGAAGGTGTGGCAGGCGGCCAGCGTCGCATCGGGGATGGTGGCGGAGATGCCAAAGTCGGCGACGCGCGGGTCGCCCGCCCGCGTCAGCAGCACGTTTGCGGGCTTGATGTCACGGTGCAGCAGGCGGCGGCCGTGCAGCGCGCCCAGCGCACGCAGCACGCGCGCCGTGATGGGGGCCAGGATGCGCTCGGGCACGGCGCCCACCTTATTCGTTTGGGGGAAGGGGGTCCGGGAGGCCTTGCGGTGAATGGAAGAGCTGAGGGGCGAGCATATCATTCTAATGATTCTTTCATCACCAGAAGGCATCACAAGGGAGGGGTCCGGGCGGAGACTCTGGCACCAGACCTCGTCCATGCCATCCCAACAATAATCCACCTTGGCAATGACGTCAGCCAGGGAGCCTCCGTCCACGTACTCCAGCACGACAGCGATTTGACCCCGGTCGGCCGCGTGGTAGGCGCCGTGGAACTGGACCAGGCCGTCGCAGGGGGGCGCGTTGCACAAGGCCTTGATGTCGTTCATCAGCTGGTGGCGGCTGCCACGGTCCAGCACGCTGATCTTCTTCACCGCCACGAACCGCGCCTCGCGCGGCAGCCAGGCCTTGTGCACCACGCCGCAGGCGCCGGCGCCCAGCTGGCGCAGCATGCGCACGTCGCACTCGCTGATCTGGCAGACGGAGGGGTGGGCGGGGGAGGGTGATGAGGGGGGGATTGGCTGAGAGCTAGACGTGAAGGAGGGCGATGATTGTGGTTCGTACCAGATCAAGATAAACATGGCTGGGAGGCATCTTCACGTCTGCACACAACCCATTTGCTCTGCATTTCCACAAGGAGCACATGGCCCTGTCCTTAACGCAAGCCCCTAGCGCCCCCCACACCACTGCACGCCGCTCTCGCCTTGTAAGAGTGCGTCTGCTTGGGGGCGACTGCGGTGGCGGCGGCGATCATGCCCCGTGGATTGAACTCAAAGGCCTGCATGGACTTGTAGAGCTTGAGCGTGCCCGTGGGGAGCACCTCGATGGAGGGCGCAAGGAGGTTCTGTTTGGTGGGAGGACGAGCAGAGGAAGGCCTGGCTAGGAGAGACGTTCAAAGAGACACTACTGTGTGCCCCTCTGAGCCTGCTCGCCCGGCAAGCACAGCTCCGCATCGAAGAAAGACAAAAGCTTCATCCTTGAGAACGATATATATGCACGAGGTAACGCAGATAACCTCCTACATTTTGATCCTGGTTGTCGCCATCCCAGCTGGAGCGCTGGGGAGACGCTGGCCTGAGGATGTTGAGTTGGAGCCTGGGCGGCATGCTGAAACTGATGGTAGGAGCTGGCGATCCCTACCTAATCTCTCATTCACTCCAGGAGTTTAGCATACTTGATGACCTGGATTCGAGGCCTTGGATAGGCCGGCGCGTGCGTATCGGTGTGCGGCGGATGGCCCCGTGTTGGATCTCCGTCTCGGGTGCTGGTACCCTCGTCCGACCACGACCGCCCTCGTCCCTGCGTGATAGGCTTCCTCGCTGATGCTGGCGATATGGGCTTGCACCTCACTTTTAAAGTCACGAGTAACATCCTGTATCGCTCACGATCTGCTCCCCGCTGTCCCCGTGCTCTTCAAAAGCATCTCATGCAGAGCACGACGAGGTGTCTCGGGAGACCTCGCACGACCTACACAGCCTACGTATTCCATTCCGACGTCATGTAGGTAATTTCTTGCATCTTGACACAAGATAATAAGTATCCATGCAAGCTTGACAGGCCACCGCTTTGTGGCGGGATGTCGCGGCAGAATTACCGGGGCAGCAGCAACCAGGTGAGAAGTTTATAATGCCGTGCCATGAAAGGAGCACAAGTGAACCTGCATGACAGCATACGCCTCCCATACTTTCTATCCCAGGATGGACAGAGGGGAGGCTGGCAGAACGCGAATAGGACTGGTAAGGTGGGTCCATGGGGCCATTGCAGTGCAGATGTGTGATCATCCTCATTGAAATCTACTATTCTATGAGCCTATCCCATCTCCCATTCACCAGGCCAGAACGGAGATCAGAGGTCTCGGAACCAGGGCAATAATGCGTGAGTGAGAAGTGGACCACCACATCTGTGCCTTTATTCAAGGTTCTCGCTGCATGCCCCTCCCCAGCACCTCATGCAATCCCCCCCCACCGTGCTCGCAGGGCACCGTCGCTCTGGCGTGATGTCGTGAGGGACGACCTCATCCACCAACGGCCCTTCTGGGTGCTGTCGTGCTACGGACACGCACGAGAGGGTGCCAACGATCTGACCGGCGATGTCAGCCCTGAAGAGGTCGGCAGCGCAGTAGCGGGCTGGGGGGAGGGCAGTGCAGGTCTACACGGGGTTGTGGATGCTGCCATGGGCACGGATGTACATGCCATTCCAGGCCACTGGGAATGTTTCTGATGCCATGATGCCATGGGTGTGACTGTACAGTGATTCCCGTTATGACTAGGACCCACTACACCCCACCACAGGTGCGCTGGATGGACATGCGGCGTGGGGCACCGCAGCGCCAGCTGGCCTCGGATTTCCAGAGCGCTCGACGCGCGCGCATCAACTGCATGGACAGGCTAATGAAGGCACCCCAAGCCCCCAGCAGGGGTGGAGGCGCAGTGGCTGCCCCGCCCTACCCTGCAGCACAGGCCGGCATCAGCGAGCAGCCCCGACCCCAGCAGCCGGCCGTGGCCCAACAGATGGGTGGCGGGGGGGGCTTCGGGGCTGCCTTCCGGAACGTGCAGGCTGGCGCGACGGCAGCGCCCGCTCAGCCCAGTCAGACAGGGTTTGGAGCGGCTGCAGGGCTGGGGCCGTCACCCCTGGCTGCCGCACCCTTCGGCCCACGCCCTGTATCGGGATTTGGGAGTGGAGTGCCCTCGGCAGCCCAGCCGGGCTTTGAGGCAGCAGCCGCGCAGCAGGGCTTCGGAACAGCAGCCGCGCAGCCGGGCTTCGGGGCAGCAGCCGCGCAGCCGGGCTTCGGGGCAGCAGCCGTGCAGCCGGGCTTCGGGGCAGCAGCCGTGCAGCCGGGCTTCGGGGCAGCAGCCGCGCAGCAGGGCTTTGCAAGCACCCCCATCATCCAGCCGGGCTTTGGGGCAGCTGCCGCGCGTCCTGGCTTTGGGAATGCGCCCACCCCATCAGGCACATTTGGTGGTGCGCCTCCTGCTCCAGCAGGATTCGGGGCCTCACCTGGCGCCGGCCCCTTTGGAGCTTTTGGGGTGCCCACACCAGCCGCTGCACCCCCGAGCTTTGGGGGCTTTGGGGCCGCTCCAAGCCCTCCTGCATGCCAAGGACAGAGCATGGCAGCCCTGGGCCTCAATGCCACACCGCAGGGAGCAGGTCTGGGTCAGGCTCAGCAGCCACCCTTGAACCAGGCCAGCCTGGACGGGACGGACGCAGATGTCGCTGCATGGCGTGCGCCTGCCTTTGAGCCGGGGAAGATTCCCGAGACCTCACCCCCACAGGAATTCTGCACATGACTGGACCATGCTCGACCCTGTAAACCTTCATTCCGTTGCTTGATACGTTTGGAACACATTCACTTTCTCACCTGGGGGCAGCTGATGATCTGAGAGCCCGACGTGATCTCCAGATGCCGTGTCGAGGGTGAGCACTTAGACCCTGGGGGTATGCACCTGCTCCTCGCAGCATAAGCCCCCCTTCAGCAGGTGCCTAGCCAACACTCTGCCCCGCACCTCGACAAAGGAACGAGTCCAGATGGACATGCAGGGCTTGGACTTTGGCGGGGGCCTGCCCGTCGTCACGGGCAGGGAAAACTCCCTGGCCGAGCTCGACGCCTTGGATGTGGACAACCTGATGAGTGAGTGGCGCGTGGCAGCGCATCACACCCAGTGATGTATCATATGCATTTATCCATGAAGGAGTGGAGTCGGCGGGCCCCGTCGACATGCAACCCCCGCCCTCAAAGTGATCGCCCACCCTCTTCCCTACATACACCCTCCCCTGCAGACTTCTTCGGGCCCATGACCACCCCCATCCCCTCCTTCGGCGACGGCGCCATGTTCCTGCAGCAGCAAATGCTGCAGCAGCAGCTCCCCCCCCGCACCCCCACGGGCTCCGCCCCCCTGTTCCCCGACCCCCCCCTGGCCGCCCCTGCGGCCAACCTCTTCTCCTCCATCCCCATGCCCGACTTCGGCAAGCCGGCCACCTCCTCCCGCCCCCCTGCCGACTCCGACCACTCCAGCGACGACGCTGAGGGGCGGTCGCGCGGGCCCGACGCGCACAAGACCACGGCCATCCAGGAGAAGAACAGGCGCGCACAGAAGCGCTTCCGCGAGCGCCAGAAGGCCAAGATGAAGGACATGACGGAGGAGCTGGACGACATGACCTCCGAGCTGGGGCGCCTTCGCGTGGAGAACGGCGCGCTGAAGAACCGGAATTCCATCCTGGAGAAGGTGCTGGCCCTGCGCGACGAGCACATCCGGGTCCTGCAGGACGAGCAGCATGTGTTTGACCTGGGCAACCACCATCTGCAGACCAGCAACCCCAAGCTGCTTGGGCCGGGACCTGCCGCCCCTGCCATGCTGGGGTATGGGGCCGGCGGGGGCGGGAGTGGTCTGCAGGGCGGCGGCCTGCCCGGGTCTGGCCAGGGCGCGGGGTCGCAGCTGCCGGCGCGGGGGTCGGGCCCGCTGGCGCTGTCCGCCGCGCTGGCCTCGGAGGTGGCATCGGTGAAGACCATGCCCGCTGACGCCGTCATCTCGCGCTGGAAGGAGACGGTGCGCGAGCTGGGCAACATCCTGGTGACCCTGGAGGGCTGCCCCGACCCGTCGGCGCCGGCGCACGCGGAGGCCAGCGCCACGCTGACCCGCGTGCTGGACGCGGCGGGCGCGCTGTGCATGCACACCGCGGTGCTGCACCCCACCAACATGCAGCGCCTGATCGCCACCGCGCTGGACGACGGGCGGTCGGGGATCAGCTCGGAGGACCGCGCGCGCTGGGCAGGAGTCACTGCCTCGCTAGCCCTCGCCCCCGATCAGCGCGCGCAGGTGGTCAGCCTGCGCGCCATCTTCCTGCGTCGCATGCGGCGCGTGGTGGAGGAGCGCCGCGCCATCCTGGACCGGCTGCAGAGCGTGAGCGTGCCGGACCGCATGCTGGCCCTGCAGTCGGTCATCGCCGAGACGTTGAAGGTCAACGAGTGCACCGTGGAGCTGAAAGCCAACCTGCAGGAGGAGCACCTGGCGGGCATGGAGTTCATCGGCACCGTGTTCAAAACCATCTTCACCCCCCTGCAAAAGGCGCGCGCCATCGTGCAGAGCTACCCCTTCTACCCGGACGTCTACCAGGTGTGCTGGAGGGGTGTGTGTGTGTGTTAATGGAGGACAGGGAGGGTTTAGGACCTGGAGAAGAGCATGTCACCGCGGGCCCCGGTCGCTCTCGACCTGGCAGCCCCCGCCCCTCCCGTCCCACCAATCCTCGGCCACGCTGGTTGCTGGGCACCCCGACTGGTCGTGCTGCCGCAAACTCTCCTCAACACCCCCCTGGTGCAGATCGCGACCGCGCTCGTGTCGGAGCAAGAAGCGGGGCTTGACGGTGTGGGCGCGGGGCCTGGCGCCGAGGCAGGAGCCCTGATCAACATCCCGGTCGCGTACAAGGCGTATTGAGCGCACAGGGGGGAGGGCAGGAGGGTTTCGGAGGCGCTGGTCGTCCCTCTCCTCGCGATCGTCCGTCGCGCCATCCCACCTGGGGTAGGCCATCGCACGTCGGCTCCGCAATCATCCCTCTGCCCCACCCCATCGACTCCCTGCGTGCCCCTGTTGCGGCGTCGCGGCTCTTTTCCCAGTGACTGTAGCGCGTCCTGTGCCCTCACCCTCACCCCCACCTTGCAATAACGCACCCAAGGGCACAGACTCCCCAGCGGCCACCCCTTGCCTTGCAAAGCCCCACCCAGCCATGTCTCCAGCCTCTGTACCCCTCGGCCCAGGCCGCCCATTGCGATTCCGAAACACGCCAAGCGCTCGAGCAGCCATGGGGTTGGGGGTGATTGGAGTGATCCGGCTGGGGGAAGGTTTGCCATGTGCTGGCCAGCCGCAGCCAAGCACGCGAGCAGTGCTTGATACATGTCGAGCATCGATGAGGGGCCCACAAGGGAGCAGGCGATGCGGGTGCGCTGAGGGAGCAGGCGCGTGCAGGCATGGGCAAGGCTGGCAGGTGCATGATGGGACGCAACCTGGCTGGCTGGTGGGTGCAGGGAGGAGATCCTGCCGGCAGGTGCATCTGGGGAGGGAGGCCGCCAGTAGATCCGCAGCATGAACGGGACACAGCAGGACTCGGCGCCGCCAGGCTGGGGCAATGCGTCGCAAGAAAGTGGCCCTGCCCTCCCTCAGCGTGATGGATGGCGCCTGAGGGCAGCCCTTGGACGCCTTGGCAGCCTGACGCTCCTTCACCCCCGCTTTGCGTCGCGTGGCCCCAGCGCGGCGCCGAGCTCGGCGGCGGCGGCCGCCTGCGCCGACGTGGGCGGCGGCGAGTCGCCTTCCGGGATCGCGCCGGGTGCGCCGGGCGCCAGCGCGGCGTTCAGCAGCGGCGCCAGGCTGCCCGACTGCAGCATGGAGCCGGAGCCGGCCAGCCCCGCCGCGAGGGCGGCCGTCGGCGGCGGCGGCCGCCCCCCGCCCGCCAGGTGCAGGAAGGCGCCAACGTTGTTGCTGCTGCCCGTGCGCGAATGCACCGCACGGCTGTGCGCCCCCGCGCCGCCGTCGGCGCCGGGCCGCGCGCGCAGCCGGTCGCGGCCGATGACGGGGACCTGTGACAGCAGGCTGGTCTTCAGCGCGCGCTGGCGCGCCTTAAAGGCGCTGCGAGTCGCGTACCACACCGCACCGGCCATGGAGGCGCCCAGCCCCGCCGCGTTCCAGGGCGAGAAGACGAAGTCGCCAAAGGCCAGCGCGCCCACCACCGTCATCAGCACGTTCTTCAGGTTGCCTGGAGTATGATGTTTTTTGTTGGTATGTGTGTGTGTGGGCGGGGGGGGGGCCGGGGGCAGAGAAGGGATGTGCATGATGTGTTTGCACGTGGGAAGGGGAGGGGACTGCAGGGCCAGGTCGGTCGACTGCGTCCCCTTTGCTGGCGGATGCCTGGTCTCATGCTACCCAGCATGTCCCTTGGCACCCGCCCAGACCCCCACACGCACACACACACACACGCTGCGCACCTGCCACGCTGGTCATCAGCGGCTCATTGACACGGGTGCATACCATGGTGGAGTGGTTGATGGTCAGGCCCATGGCACTGGCCAGGAAGAGTGCGGTCTGGAATTGGGGGGAGAGGAGGAGCGGGTAGGCCAGCACGCGCCACACCTCGGAGCGCAGCAGCAGGACGCCGCCCAGCAGCGGCAGCGACAGCACGCTGTTGTAGAACAGCATGCCTGGCGAGTGGGTTGGGGGGAGGGGTGGGAGGGGTCGGGTAAGAGGTGCGGCGGTGGACAGCAAGCGAATGGGGCCGCACAACGTAGCTGTGGAGAGCAGGGTGATGGGCCAGGACAAGGCGCTCCAAAGCCCCCGGAACGGCGCCCGGAGTTCGTCAGGTCACGAAGCCGGCAGCAGTGGAGCTTCATGCCGCCGCAAGCAGGGGGAGCTGCTCCATTTTCGAACCTGCTGTCCCTCCTCACTTGTCCGAAGCTTACGGCCACCATGTCACACGCTCCCATATTCCCTACTCCAACCCTTCCTCTCCACCTGTGGTCGACAGGCCGTGCGATGCAGGGTTATTCTTCACCATGATGAGGTAGAGGGAGGTGAGCAGGTCGTTGGCCAGCACCGCGGCATACCCCCGCATGTTGAAGCTCATGTCCGTGAAAGCCGCCACAAGCGCTCCTGCGAATGTGGAGTGTGGGTGAAGGGGGTATTTCGGGCGGGTTGGCGGCCCCAGGGCGCAACTGGCTGCCAGTGGGTTTGAACGTGAGGCCAGCCACGGCGTCCAGCTTGCCAGGGGCTGGGATGACCCTGCCCAGCCCCCAGACGGTCCATGTGTGCCTCTTTCATCCACCTTCCTCCCCTCCCCAACCCCTCTCACCCCCGATCATGATGCTCATGGCGGCCAGGGTGGGCCAGTCGTGGGACTTGTGCAGCCAGAAGCGCTCCAGCAGGATGGTGATGAGCAGGGTGAAGCGGCGGAGGGCGATGAACATGGGCACGTTGAGGCCCTGGGTGCCCACCAGCCCCGCCACCACGTTCAGCACGTTGACCAGGGCCAGGGGGCTGAGACCCCGGGCCAGCTGCCAGCTCAGCTCCGGGCGGGCGATGGCATAGGAGACGGGGGCGATGAAGAGCATCTGGAGGAAGGCCACCGTGAGCGGGAAGTGGAAGCCGTAGGAGGAGAAGATGGCCTGCAGCGCGGAGTGGGCAGTGTGGTGGTTTGTGGGAGCGCGGCGCCCATGCTCCAGCTTTGTAGGAGGGTGATGGCATGGGCCGTCCTGCTGGGCACCCGCAGCCGCCCCAACTCCCCACCCGCCCATACCTTGGTGGTGTACTGCACGAGGATGCTGCTGCCCATGAAGTAGGCCACCGTGGACAGGCGGTGGAGTGGTGTGGGCTCCGCGCCATCTGAGCCATAGCCCCTCATCCAGGGGGAGACCCGGAAGGGGGTCCACGCTGGGGGAGGGGGACCCGGCGAGGAATGGCTCAGGAGGCCCGGCACACCCTTGAAGTAGCCACGAGGGTCATCGCATTCGAGAAAATCTGATATGTATCCAGATGCAGATGGGCCGAGCCGGGAGCACGGGACAGAGAGGGGCCGTTGACGTGGCTATGTGACTGCCGTGCAAGGTGGCGCCAGGGGCTGGGGCCTAGGGAAGAGAGTACGGGCGGGTATTGAGATAACCAGGAGAGTTACAGACCGCCACACAAGCCTGATGGGGCGTCTCTGATGGGATACACCGGGGCTGCGCACCTGTACACCACCTCCCGAACGGGGTGGGTGATCAAGCTCAAGCGCTCAGATCGGGCGCGCGTTGAATTTTGGAATGCATGGCGCTTAAGGCGAGTGACCCTGGCCCCAGTGGAGACAGTCCGAGTCCAGAAGCGATGTCGTATCAGCTTGGTTTTATCGGAAGTCTCCTGCCCATCATCGTCGGCTGCCTTTGGGGTGTGTGGGGAGTCCGTGTGGGTCTCACTCTCAAGGCCCGCCTTGCGGCAGGCGCGACCAGATCACATCGTTTGAGTGCCAGCTCATTCATCCACCCATTGCATCACAGGAGTAACAAATCCATTCATCAGGCAAGGTGTGATCGCTGCCAACAAACAAGCGCCGACTGCCCGGACAGGTGGGGGAGGATTAAAATGGATCCCTCCAGTACACCTGCAGCTTTCCCACTCGAACATATGTTTTCCACACCCAAGATCCCGAATCCCAACTTTCACTTCTTGGCGCAGGCGTGGCGTGGCTGGACTCGGGCATTCACTCCCTGAGCACTCCAGCCCTGATCATTCCTCAGGGCCTCAATCTGCTGGGCGGAGTGATTTTTGCAAGCAGCCTCCGGTTCTGCTCCATCTCCACTGCTGGCCCCATTTCCAACGGTGGGTAAGGACTCTGTGTCTCAGAATCGGAAGTCTGGCATGTCTGCGCTTCAGTGCCGCAGCCCAGCCTGTTCATGGTGGCAGCCGCCTCTGCACATTCTCAAGATCCACAGCCGCAATGCATGATCCTGCAATGGAATCCAGTTTCCCGCACCCTCTCAAACGTACAGGCGTGACTCTGGCGGTCACGGCCTGTGTGGAGACCCTGCTGGGAGAGCCCTCCCGCCGACGCCTCACGGCCCTTGGGGTGGCCCTGGTGTGCTGCGGCGCCACGCTGTGCACGCTGAGCACCTGATGCCGCAGCCGCTGCCGACGCCCGGCGACGACGCGCCTTCCTCGACCAGCGAGGCGGTGGAAGCGCTGGCGCGGGCCTTGGAGAGCATGAGCGGCGAGTGGGACGAGCCCGAGTGGCGAGGAGGTAGTCTCGGTGACCTGGGTGCCGGCCAGGCCTTGCACGGGGACTGGGATGCGGCGGAGGCGGAGGACGAGGGTAATGGCAACGTTGCGACGGGCCCGGCCTGGCTGCCTTCCTCCCTCGGCAACGCACAAGGGCTGAACTTCACAGCCCTGCTGACGGGTTTGGACGACGACCCCCTGGCCGCCCTGACGGCAGCAGTAGAGGAGGACAGGCCCAGGTGCACAAGTTTGGTGCTGTGCTTGTTGCAACCGGCATGTGCATATTGTGAGGCTGTTCTCGCTCGAGCTGTCTCACCTCGCCGAGCGATGGCCGACCTCGTGCGGGTTCCGTTCAGACCCTGGGAGAGCACTGTCACTGGACGGGGCGCAGTCAACCCTCTCCGTCTGCCCTCCTCACCGTGCCCTCAGCCTGCTGACCCCTCACGCCTCTTTCCCCCTGGGCCCAGGTTCGCGCCCAGCGCAGAGTGGCAGGCCGCCATGGGTGCATCACAGGCGGATGAGGACGCGGGGGAGCTGGTGACGACAGACGCTGCCTCCGGCGGACCCCCATCGCCCCGGGGAGGAGCTGCGAGCCTGCGGGCGGGGGCGGGGACCGAGGATGCCGCCTCCCCCGCCTCTTCCAACAGAGCTGGCGCCTCCTCGGGGCAAGGGGCGACTGCCGCGTCTGAGGACAGCGAGGACACGTCCATCCCCTGCGCAGGTGAAGCGCTTGGCTGAGGTGGCGAGTGCCCGAGTGCTCTGACATCCGTATTTTGTTTCCTGACCGCGGCTGGACGCTGGTCGCTCCTCATGTGTGTGTAACGAGGCGGACCACGCCTGTGCCTGCCAGCATCAAAGTCTTGGGATGGAGTTCGAGATGGAGAACATGCATGTACAACGCTCTCCCTCACGCTCGGGACGGTCCCACGCGTGCAGGTGAGGGGGGGAGCTCAGATGAGGCGGAGGTGACGGATCACAACCCCGGCAGCGGTCAGCCAGGGCCTGCCGACCAGCCCTCCGCCGCCTTCCAAAGGCTGCGCCCCCTCTGCACCGCGCTGCTGGGTGCCGGGAGCAACCCTCAGGCCCTGGCAGGCCACCTGCAAGGTATGTTCCTGAAGGTAGCGGAGTGTGACTGCCGAGGACTCTGGTAGTTGCTTGCACGCCGCCGACTGTGTGCGCCTTGTCCCCCATCTTGTACCATGCTGGGGATTGGAGGGTCGGCAGTCCTCCCCTGGGAGCGTCCCGGTGCCCAGGATGTTCCTTCTCCAAGCACCCTCACGCCCCTGCGTCTCCACAGACCTGCATGCGGTGCTGGAGTCCCTGGGTGACGCAGAGCTGGGCCCCTGCGTGGCCTACGTGCTCTTCCCCCTGCTCATCCTGCTCGACGCAGCGGCGCAGGAGGGCGGGGCTGGGGCCGCGCCACGCGGCCAGGGTTCCTGGCGCGCCACTGAGCGATGCCTGGCCTGCGTGCTCTCCGCCCTGCGCGGCGCGGCGGGGTCGGCGCAGACGCCTGGCGCGGTGCTGCCGCGCCTTGCGGCAGTGCTTGGCCTGCCGGAAGTCACCGAGGAGGCCTCCCGCCTGGCCTGCGAGGCCATCCTGCTTTCACTGAGGGACCAGACCTCTGGCCCAGCCAGCGTGCTGGCGTCGCGGGAGGCGGCACCCCTGACGGGCCACCTCTTCTCCTCACTCCTCCACGTGCGAGGGGGTTATCTGGGAGGGGGCTGGAAGGGCGTGAGTACTGCTGGCACAGGCCACAGGAGTTCTATCTCTCTACCAAGGCCCCCCCCCCCCTAATGAAAGGCACTTAACCTCTCTCCTCACCCACCAATCTGCAGGTGGTGGCCGCGCAGATGCGGGCTGGGAGCGGCGGCAGCCGAGCCCTCGTGGCACTTGCGCTGCAGGCCCTGGGGTGCGGCATCCGCCGGGTGGCCGACGCCGACGTCCTCGCCTTCTTCCTCCCAGGCATCGCGTCGGGGCTGGCCAACGCGCTATCGGGTGAGCAAGGCGGGGCAGGGTGGAGCAGACCGGCATCGCATGTGCGGCGCTCGGCTCGTGTGGCTCTCGACACGGGGCTCGATGGATGCTGGCACCCAGTGCTTCATCCAGCCTGGTGATGAGAAGAGGGTCGTGACCAGCCAGCTCAAATCGCTCACCCCACGCAGGTGGCCGGAGCAGCAACCCCTCCTCCGCAGGCCCTGGATCCAGGGCAAACATGGCTGCGCTGGATGCCCTGACCCGCCTCGTCTGTGCGACGCTGGGGGACGGGGAGGGAGCGGTGTCGGGGACCGTAGGCGACAAACGGACAGGTGCAGCGCCGCCTACGGCCGCCAGCGCCCTGAAGCAGCTGCGGGCGCTGGCGGCGGGGGCGCAAGGCTGGCCCTGCCTCCCAGATGCGGAGCCGGGATCGGACGCAGAAGGCGCTCTGGACCCGCCCCCCGGGTCCCCTGCCTCGCCGGCGCAACTTGATCCAGAAGACCCGATCCTGTGGGTGGAAAGAACCGCGGCGTGGCGCGCCGACGCCGCTGGGAAGCTGGGTGGCCTGCTGGCGACCACCCTGCCGCGGCTGGCGGCTGCGCAGCAGAGCCCCGCCACCCGAGCGGCCGTGGCGCGAGGTGCGGCCGCCGGGGGGGCTTGATGATTGAAGGGCGTGGGGGAGCATGGCTCAGAGGGGCATGCATGTGGTTGTGGTCGGAGACCTTGCCCTGCCACCCTAGAAGACAACAGCTCGCCACCGCCTCCTTCATCACTCACCTGTCCCACAGCCGCGGCGAACCTTCTCAAATGCTGCAGTTCCACCCTGGGCGCCGCCACGGCCGACCTGCTCCTCGGCGTCCTTGGAGTCGCCGCCCAGGACGCCTGGCCGGAGGTAGCCGCGCCTGCCCGCGCCGCGCTGCAGGCATGGGCAGGCCAGTGCATCGCCTCGCATGGCTTGGGCCCCGACCCCCTCCTCGCCAAGGTCCTTGACTTGCTGCGGGGACTTCCCGAGGCCTTCCACCGCGGCAGCCACCCGGGGACCCAAGCCTGCTTGCTGCTCACCAGCTGCCTGCAGGTCGGTGTTCGTCAGCTGTACCTGCGCGGTGCTCGAATGCATGCCTGCTGGGGCTGTATGGCTCCCCTGAGACCGACATTCACCCTGCTCAAGAATACAACCCCGCCAGGTCGCGCCGGAGGGCTGGATGGAACGGTGCCTGCTGAGCCGGCCCGACCATCTCGCCGCTGTGCACGCTGCGCTACACGGCGTGCTGGAGGTCGACGCGCAGGTGGCAGAGCTGGTGGCTCGGGCCGCGGGCGGCGGCCGGGTCCGCGGCCTCCTGGAGGGCCCCGCGGCTGTTGAGGGCCGGAGCATGTTGCCGGCACAGAGTGAGGTGCCTGAACCCCGCGAGGCGCGGACGGCGCCGGGCGAGGTGGGCGAGGCTCCGGAGTACCCATCGCCTCACGCGGGCTCGAGCCCGCACCACGACGCCGGGGTCAGCGTGCGCATGGCCCCCGCACTCGTGCACGTGACCACCGAGGCTGCGTGGCGGGCGGTGGCGAGCCTGTGCGGCGCCCTGGGGTCAGCCGCGGGCCGGAGCCGGGCCGGCCTGGAGCGGCTGCTGGAGCCGTGCCTGGAAAGCGCGGGGCGGAGGGCGGGCGCCGATGCGACGGAGTCGTGCCGGGCCCTGACCCTGGCGGCCGCCTTCCTGGCCGGCACAGCGCCGCAGCCCGGGGAGGAAGGCGCGGCGCGGCACGAGGCGCTGGCCCTGGCCGCCGTGCTGGTGCTCGCCGACTCGGCGCCCTGGGAGGCGGGGGGCAGCTTGGGCGAGGCCCTACCCCGAGGGGCTGGCGTCGCCGCACTCCGCCTCTGCTCCGCCTGGGACCTGGTGGCGGTGCTGGCCGCGGTGCAGGGCCCACGCTTTGCACGCCGCGGCGCCGCCCTGCGCCCCATCCTGCTGCCCCTCTTCGAGAGCCTGGGTGAGGGGGTATGAAAGGGGCGCTGTGCGCCCTGAGCTCCTGCAGTTGAACAATTGCAAAGGGGCTCTGCATGGTGGGGCACGCGCCAGGCTCTGAGACTGGACTGCAACTGGCATCCAGACCACCCCCCCTCCCCCCGTTGCAGCTGCTCTGCCGATGCCCCGCACTCGCATGAGGCAGTCTCTTCCCCTGCCCACAAAACCCCAATTCCAACTCTTGGGCCCCCCCCCCCCACCTTTTTCTAACCCAAACACAGAGTCGCCCAGCGGGCTGGTAGCGGAGGCGGCGGGCCTGGCGCTCTCGGCGCTGGTGCGGCACGGGCGGTACGATGCGGCTGGCCCCGGCGACCTGGTCTCGCAGAACGCAGACTACATCGTGGACGGCCTGTGCCGCCAGCTGCGCCAGCCGGCGCGCCACCCACGTGCGCCCGCTCTTTTCGCCGCGCTGCTGAAGCAGACGGGGGTGCCGCAGATGCTGCTGCCCCTGCTGGCCGAGCCGCTGCGCGTGGCTTTACAGGTGAGTTTATTTGCGTGTGTGGTTTGAACCGACGGAAAGGGGGGAGGACTAGAAAGTGGGCCTTTGGTTTGCCTGTTTGACAAATGGGCTGGGAAGCAGGGGAGGGTCCTGGGCGGCTGGGCATGGCAAATGAGAGTATCCTGTGAGGTAACCCCGCTCACTCTCTCCCCGCTCCCCCTCTCCAAAGGGCTTGAGCGTCATGCTGCGGGCCGCGGCTCCGCAGCACACGCTGTCCTTCTTATCCACGCTGCGCGAGGCGCTGCGCGGCGCTGCCTCGCTGGCGCGGGAGGCGAGGACGGGTGCCGAGGCGCTGGCGGCCGAGGTGGCGGAGGCCTGGGAAGCGGCACGGTCAGATGCAGCGCGAGAGGAGGAGGCCGAGGACGGCGAGGAGGGCTCCGGGTACGAGGCCGCGCGCGCCTACTTCACGCGCAGGGCAGAAGAGCATGCGGGCGTCGACGGTCACCCTGCGGCCCCCGAACCGCTGCAGGTCCCGCTTTCCGAGCGGCAGCTGGCTGCGCTGCGCGCGCTGCGGGGCCAGGCCCACGCCGCCGCCTCGCTGGCCGCGCCCGCGTCCGACGCAGCGGGCGTGCTGGCGGCGTCGGCGTCGCTGGCGGTGGCCACCGCCGCGCTTTCCACCTGCCTCGCGGCGCTGGCCGCGCTGGCCGAGGCCGGCGCGGCGCTGGCCGCGCTGGAGGGTCGGGTGGAGCGGCTGGGCTGCGCGCCGGCCGCGCTGGGGCCGCTGGCCCCGGCCACGCCGCGCCTGCTGCCCAGCGTGCACCTGTTCTGGGAGCCAGTCGTGCTGGCCCTGGACGACTGGCGCGTGCCAGTGGTGGAGGCCGCCCTCGACTCGCTGGCGGCCCTGCTCAAGCTGGGCGGCTCCTTCCTCCTGCGCCGCTTCGGCAAGGAGGCCGCGCCGCGCCTGCGCCGCCTGCTGGCGGATGGGGCGGTGCGGCGCGGACAGGGGCCCCCGCTCCCGG